GGGTGGTAGTGTGGAAAGTCAAGCAAGTCTTAACCCCCCCCATTTCATTACTCTGACAACGTTTTTTTAATACTTTTTTTTTTTAAGAGATACTGCTGAGGAGTTAAACCTCCTAATAAAAGTTTGTAAATATTACCTCTAAGAAATTTACTGGTACCTAGACCTCATTAATTTAAGCATCTCTGTTTTATTGCATGTGGACAATTCACCAACTAAAGGTCCTAAAGGACAGGGGCAAAAGAGGACAAGTGAAATTTAGATGGTAATGTCAAAAACTGAGCAAGAGCTCATCATAGCAGGACTCAGTGGGATGATACACACAGTACTCAACAAGACAAATAGAGAAAATATGGGGTTCTGGTGTCTGTTCCTCTCAATTCAAGCATTTTATAATAAGAAGCCATTTGATTATACAACAAAAACCTAGAAGTACCTCTTCAAGCATGAAAAATTGTCCTCTTCGCCTTCTGCTTAAAATAATGTACTATATTACTATATCGCAAATAAAAATCTGGGTGGTATTGAAAATTTTTTTTGTAGGGTTATTAACAAAGAGAATGAAAAGAAAATATCTTAAACATGTCACACCTTAAGGGAACAGACAATGATGGAGCTAACAAACCTGTATTGTAATGTGTAATTGTTTCTCCTTTTTGCTTTTAAGCACATTCCAAAGTCTTTAATCACATTACGCACAGTTATATAATTGAATCCATCATGTTCTTCTGGTTAGTCAGCTTCATCCTAATTATGTAAACAAATGCACCAATGTATACTCACAGGGATCAATAGACCTCTCATCCAAAGAGCTCCCTTCCCACATGCCACTGCAGAACACTTTCTAAAATGTAACCAGTGAAATCACATGAACCTCATGAGATTCAACAAGGCCAAGTGATGGCCCTGCACCTGGGTCTGGGCAAATCCAAGCACAAACACTGGCTGGGCAGAGAATGGATTGAGGAGAAGGACTTGGCAGTGCTGGTGGATGAGAGGCTGGACATGACCCACGTGCACTCACACCTCAGAAAGCCAAACGTGTCCTGCTCTGTATCAAAAGAATTATGTGGCCAGCAGGTCAAGGGAGGTGATTCTGCCCCTCTGCTCTGCCCTCATGACACCCCACCTGCAGTGCTGCATTCAGCTCTGGGGTCCTCAACATAAAAGGGACATGGACCTGCTGGAGCAAGTCCAGAGGAGGCCATGAAGATGATCAGGGGGCAGGAGCACCTCTCCTGTGAAGACAGGCTGAGAGAGTTGGGGTTGTTCATCCTGGAGAAAAGAATCATAGAATTAGAAAATGGTTTGGGTTTGAAGGAACCTTTAAGATCATATTAATTCCAACCCCCCTGACATAGGCAGGGAAAATTCCACTAGACTAGGTTACTCAGAGCCTCATCCAACTTGGCCCAAACACTTCCAGGGATGAGGAGTTCACAAGCTCCCTGGGCAACGCACTCCAGTGCCTTACCACCTTCACAATAAAGAATTTCTTCCTAATATCTAATCTAAACCTACTCTCCTTCAGCTTAAGGCCATTCCCCATTGTCCTACCACAACACATCTTTGTGAAAAGTCCCTCTCCAGATTTCTTTTAAGCCCCCTTTAGGTACTGGAAGGTGCTATAAGGTCTCACTAGAGCCTTCTCTACTCCAGGCTGAACAGCCCTCGATCTCTCAGCCTTTCCTTATAGGAGAGGTGCTCCAGCCCTGTGATCAACTTAATGTCCTTCTCTGGATCTTTCCAACGGGTCAACACTTTTCCTGTGCTGGTGACCCCAGAGCTGGATGCAGTGCTCCAGGTGGGGTCTCACCAGAGCAGAGTAGAGGGGCAGAATCATGTCCCTCGCCTTGCTGGCCACACTGCTTTGGATGCAGCCCAGGACACGGTTGGATTTCTGGGCTACAAGCACACATTCCTGGCTCATGTTGAGTTTTTCGTCCACAAACATCGCCAGTTCTCTTCCTCAGCGCTAGGCTTGGTCCATTCTCTGCCCAGTCTGAATTTTTATTACTTCTCTGGGAAGGACCTAGCACTTCACCCTGTTGAACTTCATGAGGTTTGTACAGACCACCTCTGAAGCCTGTCCAGGTCCCTCTGGGTGGCATCCCTTCCCTCCAGTGGGTTGACCACACCACAGAATTTGGTGTCATCTGCAAACTTTCAGGGTGCCCTTGATCCCACTGTCCATGTCACCAACAAAGATGTTAAACAGTGCTGGCCCCAACACTGACCCCTGAGGACAGCACGGGTCACTGGTCTCCACTTGGACCACAATCCTTTCAGCACAACCATCCAGTCTATTCCTTATCTGCCAAGTGGTCCATCCAACAAAACCATGACTCTCCAGGTAGGACACAAGGATGTCGTGCAGGACAGTGTCAAAAGCTTCACACAAGTCCAGTAGGATGATATCTGTTGCTCTTCCCTCATGCACCACTGCTGTAACCCCATCATCAAAGGACAACAAATTTGTCAGGTATTATTTGCCTTTAGTGAAGCCATATTGTCTTCACCAATCATCACCTTATTTTCCATGTGCAAGGCTCATGGGAGAAGGCTCTGGGGAGACCTTATAGCACCTTCCAGTACTAAGAGGAAATCTACAAGAAAGCTGGAGAGGGACATTTTAGAGGGGCATGTAAAGATAGGACAAGGAGAACGGCTTCAAACTGAAAAAGGGTAGATTTAGATATGGTAGGAGGGAGAAATTCTCTACTGTGAGGGTGGTGAAACACTGAAACAGGTTGCCCAGAATAGTCCTGAAGTGTTCAAGGTCAGGCTGGATGGGGCTTTGAGCAACATGGTCTAGTGGCAAGTGTCCCTGCCCAGGACGGGGTAGTTGGAACTAGATGATCTTTAAGGTTCCTTCCAATCCAAACCCTATGTTTCTATGAAATCTGAGCCCAGTGGTGGCCAGCTCTCCCAAATAAACCTCTCCAGATAGCAATTTCCCAGCATAAGAGTCGCTGATGTTACAGTTGAGGTAGCTGACAAACTAGCACTGTGCTTCTGCAGGACACCAACAGGCCTCAGTGCTGTGCAGCAGAAGGGTCTGTACCTCTAAGCAGAGCTTCTAAGACTAGGCAAAACTGCTGTGTTAGGCTCCAGGAAACTGCAGGAAAGCAGCTCTGGCATCACACTGCAAAGATAGGAGAAATGAGTCTATACAGAAATGACGGCTTCATCTTTTTGTACACACTAAAGAAAGACTCTGGAGTAGTAAAAACACAAACAAGACATGCCTGTTATTAACAAGCCATACTGGAGAACATTTCTGGGTCACCTTTGGTAGCTGTGTCTCTCCAGATCAGTGTCATTGTTTCTACACCTGTCAGTCTCTATCTTTCAAAACTGAGACAGAAATAACCTGAGCAGGTCTGTTAAATTTCCCAAAGCACTGGAAACACAATGAGAGTTGGCATGCTGTATTTCTGCATCACAGCAATGCTATTTTTCTTTGTTCTCTCTCGAGTTGTCTTTTAAACCACTACACAGAAATAATTTAAAAAGTAAACGATAATTAAATGAACATACAGAACAAGCAGAGATCTTTATAGCACTAACTCACATCTGTTCCAAGCAATTAAAACAAGTACTTGCAACTGCACTATTTGTAATTAATATAAATATATGGTTACTGACTTCTTAGTAGTTGTAAATAGAGAATAAAAAATGGGAATTTGGTAGTCTATTTGTATAAAGCTGAAGATCACTGCACCAGATGCCTAGCTACAGCAATCCTATTTTTTAAAAGTTGAGAGATACTGATAAATTCAGTCTTGGGTAGTTCCCTAGAAAAGTTCGTAGTATCATACTATACATGAAACTTGCAAACTAGGTGTTACACTGGATACACTGGATAAAGTGCAGCTTAAGAATCTAGCTCTAAAGTTATGTTGACTGTAAAACATGAAATGCTAAATAAAGCTGTAATTCAGAAGATTCAATGGTCAAAAGAAAAACATATGTATGTAACTTTTAAAAATTAAAAACCTATTAAAGTATGGAGGAGAAAGCCCTCTTGACGTAAATGAGGACTTGTACTTCTGCAGTAAAAAGTTGCAGGTCATTATGAGTCACTCCATCATTCACTTCCCTCAGATGCAGAGCAGAAATAGAACAGATGTAGGAAATTGAAACAGACCAAGAAAGAAGCAGAATATGACTCCATAAATGTAACCCATTAGAACTTATTATTTGGTATAAACTGCCTTGTGCTGCCCTTCCCAAGACTGGAAACTGTTTTTCTTTGTCCACATCTATCCAGAATTTTATTTAGGCTTTGGTTCTGTCATGGGATGCCTACTTTTCTTATTTATCCATTTAGTCATATTTCTATGCCATAAGGAAGAAAGTTTAAGAATAGCATTCTCTTAGCTATAATTTTCTTAGTGGAATCTTTTATGTTCCACAATTCAGAATGTTCACAGGAGAACAAGAAGAACAGAAGATGAAAATTCTATATATGAAATATATTGACAGTGCAAAAGGAATCTTGTTTACACAAAACTTCCATTACCACACTTCAATCAAAACAAGGAATAGTTAAACGAATCATCAGCATCTGCAGGATTTTAAAACTCTGTCACCATAGTTTCAGTTCAAACTAACCCATTAAAATGAAAATTTATCTTAATTTCTGTCTTATTAAAATAATGTCCATGGAAAAAATTAGCCCCAAAGATGAATACCTTTTGGAGTGTGCAATCTGTAGTGTACCATGGAATTCTGAAACACCCTGTCCTAAAATGGTCCCGATCTACCCAGCAGGTTGTTAACCTTCAAGTTACCTCGGTGGGTTTATGCTTTTGAAATGGCATTTTAAATGTAGAATTACACATAAAGAAAGGAGCTTTCCAGAATGTGCTTCAGAAAAAAAAGAAACCTTCCTTTTCAGGATAGTGTCTAGTTTTTAATTCATGGAAGTGGCATACGCATCTAGGGCTGGGTTTTTCCCCTCCCTTTTTGCTTATATCACAAGTTTAAGCTGGACTTACGCGGTTTTGCCCTCGCTATCTTGTTTGGTGGCACTGGCTCCCTTTTTACCCAGCAACGAAGCCACTTTCTCAGGATCGCCATTCTCCACTGCCTGCAGCAGCCGATCATCGTTCTTATTCCACTCATTGGTCTGGAGTAAAAGAAAAAGAAGGGAGAAATATTATCAGTACCAGCACTGTGTACAGGCTCTCCTGGATGATCCTGCCCACATTTATCACCATGGAAAGCTTAAAAAAAAGCCTAACTCAAAGAAATGGTACAAAGAAAGCCACATAAAACCAATCTGCAAGCTGTGCAGCACAGGTTCCCGGGGACTTAATGGCTTCAACCAGGGCCTGAGCAATGACTGAAGGTGAACTCTAATTTGGAAACTCTCTAGATGAGTAGTGCAGGTAAACTTTCCATATTTTCTTACCGTATTTTTAAAAGTTCTCCATTTTTTCTAGTCCTTGTTTCTATTTCAGGCCCCATCAGACCTTCTTGACATACATCATGTGGATAAGCAGAGATGCCTCATCTTATCCAGACCCCACCCTTTCCAGCCAGAACTTTCCATATTTAAGGCATTTCTCAGCTCACACTTTGTAGAGGACAACAAGTTAAGAGACTGCCCTTTCCAGACTGTAACTAGCTTTACTGAGCTCTTATCCTCTATGTTTTTCCTTAAAACAACCAAACAAATGAGCCACTCGGGTAGGTAGCGCATCACTAATGCTGCTGAAAGAAAGGACAGCCATCCTACTTTCAGATCTTTCCAAACTTAACCCTCTAAGTCTTTTTGATTCTTCTCAGCATCTGAATCGGGAATAGGACACTACTTCCTAAAGTGATGATTCTCCCTCCTCCTCCTCACCCTCAGAAAGTGGCCTGTTTCCTCTACCAGATGCTCAAGTTGAATCTAGAAAGATCGTAAGAAAACAGAGGACTGTTAACTTTCCATATTCCATGTGATCACAGCAAAGCAAGCTCTGGAAAAAGCAGTTGAAAGTTGCATTCATGCCTTTTAGTCTGTAGAATAGAAGACATGAGTGTTCAGTCTTCAGGAGAAGCAATCTGGTGCAGCCAAAAACCTGCATTTGAATTAGTGTTGGCACCCTGCTACCCTCAGGAGAGTTATCTTCAACAGACTATGGCTTTCTCTTTGACACCAGTCAGCTCATCTCCAGCATGACTGCTGTTCACAAGTATTTGATTTCTACATAACTTTTGGAATTACTAAATTCATATTAATACACACCTTGAGAAATATTCAACTTAATAAAAACCAAACAAAAAACTCCCCACCACAACACTTTGTCCTTATGCTCTATACAAACTTTTTTGGCTCCAGATGAATATAAAGAATGATGTTTCTCTGTCTGGGCTTATGAGGAAAAGTGTATGATGTACACACTTATATGAACTAACTCCACAGGCTGTGAACACCCTGAAAAACCAGAACAGGAGGAAAGTGTTCCAGGTTAAAAAACAAATTAAAAAAACCAAACCAAACGAACAAAAAAGACAAAACCCAAACATTAGGGAGAGCGCAGACTGATGAGGAGAGCAGACAGGAGCTGAAAGAACACCACCTGGAACCCCGAGTATGAATGGCAGCTCTGTCAAAGGAAGAGGCATGTAGACAAAGCAATTGCAGTCTGTTTTGGCAGTGGTATGACCGGTGGGTAAATGCACATCAAGCAGGTTATAGTCTTTATTCTTATAGCAGTGCAATAAACTTCTGTAGACTCTAGAGCACTAATTACATCAGCAAAAAAAATTGTTTCCCTGAGTAATATTTGAACTCCATGGCAGTGAGTGGCCAGCCAAACAGCAGGCTCCACCTAAAACGAAACTCATGGCCTATTCTGCATTTAGGGAATTTTGTGCTTTAAAGGGAGCTTATTATTAAAAACAGATGTTAAAAAAATGTAGCTTACTTGTAAATAAAATCCTTTAAAGTTAACACTGTTTATTTGACAGTATATTATGCCTTTTGCTTTGGAGTTTGTCCTGTTTCTGGGCTTTATTATTCAGTCAAATAAGACATTTAAATATAGGCTATTTGATGAATCACCCTTACCCACAAATCACCAAGATGACTGCAAAGCATTGGTAGCACCTAACTCCTACACTTTTTAATTTTTTTTTTTACTTTTTCTGTGTGTGTGTGTTTTATATCTTGGAAAATACAGACACAGATGGCAGGTAGCACGATAACCTACACACACACCATGCACACATAATCCGATACTAAACCATTCTTTGAAGAAGAAACACAACACCTAATTTAAGATATTTTCCTGACTTGAAATAACCAGTTTACTTCTGAAACATGAATCAGAATAAACGACAGGAAAATGTTAAGATAAAGGCCTGCTGAAAATCCTTGGCAGAATAGCTTTCAGAAGAATGTTCAGCTTTTTAGTACAAAAATGGCCACATCTTCAGGAAGCAGTTCCATGAATATTCCTTTAATACTCAGATATTAAATTGAAACATTATTGACATATAATCCAGTATCCAGTATTCTGGTATAAGCAAGTAAGCACACTAATACCAACTCCCAAGTTTAAGAAATATCTGAGACAAAGTGTCAACTTCCCCTTTGAGAAGCTGCTGTGGTAACTATATCAATTTATAATTACACTATCATTAACATCCCAGATCCAAGAGAAACCACCACAGCTGGGTCCCAAATTACCCCGCAGTAGTATGGAAGTTGCAGCTAGGAGATACACAAATACTGAATGGGGAAGCCTAGAGTATTCTGAAAGTGGTTCTGATGTTGCAGAACGATGCCGTGTTCATGTTCACACTAAAACATTTTATGACATACGGAATCACTCTCTTACAAGTACATAGGCTTTAATTCATCTTTACTATAGTTTTCAACCATATCATTTTGACAAAAAGTAAACACTCACACAAAAACAATTAAAGAAAGACTTAATGATGCCTCATTTAAAAAGCTGCGTGTACTTATCTGTGCAGGTAAAAAGATTCCCTCATACTTAAGAATTAAAACAGAACCGAACTTGGACAAGCCATCAATTAATGCAGTCTCTCACAGGGATCCTGAAAACACTCAGTACTATCAGATTCATCTCAGTGTCAAGGAAAGGCTACCAGTGTACATCTCTTTATTTTTCACACAAAGCTGGATAATGAATTCTTTTTCCTGCTTAGAGGAAAGTGGTAGAGGCTGATGGTTAGGCTAGAAGATCTGTATTTGGAAGTCATTTTAGATTCCTGTTTTGAGTTCTATATCTAATTAATGCCTCTTCTTCGAAGCATTGTGACTCAGAGTTGTTAAAGGAATGAATAATTTTAGAGACTGTCACATACCCAAATCTGCTTACATTAGTTCTTGCAATTGCATGTTTAACGTCTTTAACACTACTGTACCTGCAACTTTGTTTTGCTCCTGGAAAACAAAAGGATACATGCAGTTTCTCTTCGTAGTGCAGCAGTTATGCTTATTTATAAACTAAAAGAGCTGTGTTCTATGTAAGATGCTTAAAAGCCACCACGCTCTATTACTCATATAAAGTTATGCATCTTTTCATTAAAGCAATAAAAATTCCATTCTAGGGCATCAAACACCTGTTATTATCGTAGAAAAAAATGTCAATTTTATACAAGTTATATAAAGCCACTTACAGACCTCGTTTTATTTTCAAAATGATATTAGGGATAAATCTGTCCACATAGGAGAAAAGTATGCAAGCATCTAAACTATTGTTCAAGTATTCCTCTGATAGGATCAAACTGTTTTTTAATTCCCCGCTGTGCTCAAATACCAGCATTGTACAATGCATTCCAAAAGTTAAAGGTACAGCTATTAAAATAAATGGCATGTAAAATAGATTCTCAAAAACATTCATTTCAAAAGAGAATTGTAGCCCTACCACCCATGTTCTTTAGGGGAAGAAAAATCTAGAAGGCAAGAGAATACATACGACACCCAGAAAGACACTGTACCCAGGATCTGGCAAGAAAGTAAGAGGTATTTAAGTCAGTAGGGCTCCTACAGTCTCATGTAATCAAAAATTGCACAGGCATTGCTGCTGGAGCAGGTCAGAAAACACATATTTCTGAACAGAGGGAGTGACTGTTGCATTACACACATTTTCTGAATCTCTTGTAATATTAGCCTGGTCTTGACCCCACAAGCCACACATCATCAAGTATACACCAAAGACTTGGGAGGTAACTTCTGCTGGCATGATGCAAAACATGGGTACAACCAGTTATGGTTTACTGTTCAGTGTAAAAGCCACCTTGAACTGACATCTCTCATGCAGCACAGTATTTGTTTCTCCTGGAGAACACACACATGGGAGATGCTCTCTTCTGCCAAGAGTACAGGGTGGCCAGTTAAGGTGGAGACCTTAACTTAATAAAACTACTGCATCAAGCTTCCTCCACTGCAGCCCCGCAAACCATCCCATTCCTCTTTTCCAAGCTGCCCAAATATTTCTGTAAGTCCCCTTCTTCAGCTGTGTGCCCCATCCTGCCCCCTCTATCACAAGGCTCCTCACTCCCCTTGATTTCAGATCTCACCCAAGTAGCATGGCACTGACCACCAAACAGCCCTTGGGAAGTTTCAGTTCTGTTACTACCACTCTTTCAAGTAGTAAAGGGTAATAAAAGAGTGTTTTCTTTTATGTCAGAGATGCCTTCACGTGTAACCTTCTGAGCAAACCATCACAGAGCACTTCAAAATTAAGATTAACACAGAGTAACAGTATGATCTTCAGGAAGATGTTTAATATAGCACAAGAGCAACAAAGCCATCAGGCTCCAGAAGCTAAGGAAGTACTACTTTTCATCAGCAATAAAACTAGGGATTCTTTGGTTTTAGTTTGTTTTTTTGTTTTGTTTGGGTTTCCTTGTTTTGTTTAGGAGCTGCAAATAGCAAGTTAATCAACTGAGTATTTGGCATGACATATGGTGATACACATGTATCATGTAAGTAAAAAAAAACCCCAAACCTGAGCATCTCAGTCTAAAGATAAACACACATACGTAACAAATTTGGAAGATTCTGATCCTGGAAAAGACTGCACATGTGACTTTCTTTGCCTCCACCCCCACCCCACACACACACCTACTTCTGTAGGCCATGTGCCAAAGAGTTATCAACAG